CTGCCAACCCCAGGAACCATCTCACCTCCTTTTTAGTCTTGGGGCGTGGGCAGGATGCGATAGCTGCCATCTTCTCCACCTGTGGATGCACCTGCCCGAACAAACAGGCCATGCCCAACCGGTCCAGGAGCTCGTCGACCCGGGCCATGGGATAAGCATCAAAGCGTGACACTTCATTCACCTTGCGATAGTCGACACAGGACCGTATAGACCCATCCTTCTTCACCACAAGAACTACGGGGCTACACTAGACGCTGTGCGACTCTTCTATCACTCCCATTTTTAGCATTTTGGCCAATTTACTGAAATGCTGAGCACAAACAATTTGCGGTTTTTGCTCAGGAAGCCTGTAGGGCCATGAACGCACTGTCATGCCAGGCTGCATTTCAAAATGATGCTCAATGAGAGACGTTCGGCCTGGAGCAAATTCTCCCGTGACAACCTCCTCAAAATGTGGAGTTTTGCTCTCAGGTCCAACACGTACTGAATCTCATTCTTGGCAGGGCCCGGACCTTCCTCCCAGCTTTCTTTAATCAGATCGAGCACCCCATGCGGCTTCCTGCCGAACAGTAGTTCAAAGGAAGAAATTCCCGTGGAGGCCTGGGGCACCTCCCGCACTGCAAATAACAGAGGGTCTAACCAGAAATCCCAATTGCGTTCATCCTTGTGAATGAACTTACGAATCATGGACTTTAAAGTCTTGTTCAGACACTCCACTAGAGGGCGCTGGTCCGAATAGATTTAATGCCCAGTAATTCATACAGTTCCCGCAGTGTGCGAGACATGAATGAAGTGCCCTGGTCAGTCAGTATCTCTTTCGGGATTCTAACTCAGGAGATGACCTGAAACAGTGCCTGTGCCACACTCTTTGCAGAGATGATGAGCAGAGGCACTGCTTCCGTGTATCGCGTTGCATAATCCACCAGAACTAATACAAAGTGATAGCTGCGTGCACTCCGGTGAAACGGCCCGATGAGGTCCATGCCAATGTGCTCAAACGGGAACTCCATGAGTGGGAGCGGGGGCAAAGGCGCTCTTAGTATGGCCGGCTGATTAACAAGTTGGCAGTCAGGGCAGGACGTGCACCAGCGGTGCACATCTGCTCGGATGCCCAGCCAATAAAATCTGGCCGTTATTCCCTTCAGAGTTTTTTCATATCTCATATGCCCTGCCATGGGGTTATAATGAGCCGCCTGAAAAATCATTTCCCGGTGGCTCTGCGGCACCAACAACTGGGTGTGTGTCTCCTCTGTGCAAGTGTCACGACTCACTCGATATAACCTATCTTTCAATAACATGAAGCGCGGCTTCAGGGATCACCATGTGACCATCAATCTCAATCACCTGGTCGAAGGCTGAGCATAGGGTGTCATCACGAGACTGCTCCAGTGGGAAATCTCCTGTGGGGGGAATTTCCGGAGCCAGCAGGGCCTCCCATGAAGGACCAGCAGTGCCCCAGGACGAACCAAGCTTCAGTGCACGAGGGTCTGCGCACAGCCCGTGTCCACCAAAGCATGGCGTACTGTATACCCCCTCGAGTCCTTATGCTATATGTCCCTCCTGGACTGGGAAAGGGTGCTGGGGCACGGGTGACGCGGAACACCTGCCTTACTTCCATCCGAGGACAGTTCCTCTTCAGGCGTCCCGGTTGGCTGCACTTCCAGCATTCCTGCCCCGGCGTCTGTGCCGCTCTCCGTGGCTCAGGGGCAGCACTGGTTACCTCCAATCCCTGGGAAGGCACAAAGGAAGTGAATGGGTTAGTGGGGCTCAACACCGGCGCCCACTCTCCCTGTGCAGGCGCAGGTGCCTTGGTGCCGTCACTGGGGCTTGTTTGCTCGGTGTCTGGCTGCCTCCTCCGGGCTCCTCTGCTTTGGCGACGAGATGGTCCTCCATCAGTGTGACTGCGATCTCCAGACTCGCGGGTCGGTGGCACCGGACCCATCTTGTCTTCTCCGCTGGCAGCCACTCCATGAACTGCTCCAGCACCACCTTGTCCACCAGCCGGGGGTCCCTGTCGCCCATCCGGTTGCCACAAATAGTGAAGGGGCCTTCAGCGGCACAGTAGCCCCGAACAGCCGCTCCAGAACCTGAGTCTGCCGGTCCGCTTGCTCCTGCAGCTTTGCCAGGTAGACCCGCTGGGCAGCCGCCTGGTCTTGGCTCATCTTTGCCATCTCCGCCAGGAACGGCAAAGGCTGGGTAGGTGGCGCAGCATGTAGGTCTGACATCCCCACGTTTCCTGGGTTTCGGCACCACTTGTAGAATGCAGTCAACACACACACAGTTTGATGCACAGACATGTGACGTTTATTTGTGACTTTTTGTGCGACAGTTCACAGTCTGGTCAGCGCCAGTCTCAGCTTTTTCAAGCACCCTTCGCTTGTCTTCTGCCTCAATTAAAAATGGAAAATAAAACTGTCATCAGTCCAAACGCCACCAGCTGTGTTCTCATCTGCCTCCCCTGCACCGCCCCGTTGAGCTCACTGCACCACTCCTCCCCTGCAGCCAATCCAGGGACCACACCACCACAACATGTCATCTCCATTCATATAAATTATATGATTGCCTGGAATAAAGACCTATCCAACCAATTCTTCAGCCAGACACAGGTGGGAATAGTACAACATTGGAATTCACAATGTCATAGCATCACTAATATTAATGACCAAGTTTACTTCTTTATCTGAAGTCATGTAAGAGCTATGTAACGTCAGCGCCAGTTAAAAGTTCAGACACAAATACTGATTTCAGAATTGTTATTTATTTTCAACAGTGTATAACAAAACTAAAGACATCAGAAATATGAAATAAGACATATTAAATTATATGATTAATACAAAAGTATGAAACATTATTTCACAGTAGCCTGGAACCTTTCCAACAGTATTTAAGGCATTCTCAGAAAAATTAGGGAAGCCTCATAAAATGAATAGATGCAAGTTTCTGACTGATACTGTAGCCTTAGACAGCACATTCTTTTGCATTGTTCATGGAAACAATACAAAACAGATCTGAATTACATCTTAATCGTAAGATGTCCAAACTCCTTTAAAAAAAGTATAACTTTTGATAAATTAACAGAAGAATCACAACAGCGTGTACTCACATGTGCTAAGTTTAGGCTTATGGCATGCTGATGCTGATGGCATAGTGGATTCAGAGGAAGAATTACACAGTGAAGCAGCTTGTGGAGTATTAATGTCAGATTTGTCAAACTAAGAGTTTGAAGAAGAGCTAATAAGTGAATAGAGTTCAGAGTTCATAGCTTGACTGTTTGGTGAAATGACAACAAATTGGCAGAGATACAGAATTTGCCAGTATTTGACAGCTGAAGCAAAAGATTTAAGGAGACCATTCAAATCATGTAACTGTTTTAGAATAAATTGTTCTTGAAGAAAGTAGTTCCCAATGAGACAGTTAAGTGAATAAGCACAATTATTCTTGTTAGGAGTCAGAAAAGGAAAACTGAAAGAATTAGGAGGAGATATTATGAAGGAGGACTATAGCAGGGTTAGAACACTGATGCCAGAAAGAAAAAATCTCCATTGCCTTCAGAAGGAAGGCAAGAACACCAGAAAGAGCAGGAAACCTTTAAGGATTTCAAGGCAAATAGGTCGATGGGTGGCTCCTCAAAGGAGAGCATGGGTTGGACTTAGGAGCCATGTTCCCTCTAAGCTGCGTGCGCAATCGCACACTGCTGGCATGGTCTCCAATCTGTGTTGCACACACAAAAAAAATCTAACCTGAATTGAAATTAAAATAAATACGTTAACAATTCTGTTTTGCAGTGTGCGTCAGTAAGTGACCCGTGACTGGCTGCTCCAGCCAATGATGCGATTCACATTGGTATATACGCAGCTAATCAACGTGGTTCACAGGCTCTAACAGCGTCCTTATGTGCCGACGCCGGTGTTTTAGCGAGCAAAGTGGCGTGGCTGATGTGGAGTGAAGCCACGTTAATGACAACGTGTACAACCATTGGAGATGTGAGCAGGACAGACGGAACAACTGAGGGACAAAGTGTGGACTTTATACCAGTTTTTAAATTGTGTTGATCGGCCGCGTAAAACCAGAGTTATGATAAAATATCTGCAATGTTTGGTTTTCTTCCTGAATACTGTCGTTGTTTATACTTTATATAGAAACTGCGTTTTATAAGGAAAACGCTCAAAAGCCTGTGAGCTAAAACAACACCAAAAAAACCAGCCTTTCCTATTGGTGGAAAAATGTACCTTACCTCGTGGACCAATCAAAAAATGATATGGCAACATGACATTTAGATGTTTAGGGAGGGGGAAGTTTTAGGAGTGACGGCGTGTTTGAGATGTGACAGATTTGCCACGTTTAGCCTGTTTGGAGTCTAAAGTTAGTGTGTTGTCTTGTGTAGTTTGTGTGTAGTTAGTGTGTAGTGTAGTCAACAGTTTTGTTGTGTGTCAGAACAATGAGGCGACTGCTGAGTGTTACAGGTGTTACAGCAGTGATACATCTGCTGCTGTCAGGCCTGCAGGTATCAGGCTGTTGTTCTCCTTCATCTCATAGTGGACAGAAATTATTTTTGGAGCGGCACAAATAATTTGTGTGGCATCAAATTTGATGCAGAACAGCTGATTGTTCTGTAAATAGTTTGAAATGTTTGTTTAAAAACGCCTTGGCTGCATTTTTAGGTAAACAGCTGCAACAAACTTTGTTGTTTGCATAACTCAGTTACTTTTTTGAAGAAGTAACTATATAATTAATTACCCAACATTGGTCATTATTTACTGTATTTTGCAGACAGAGTTACAGACTCTCTCCCAGACCACAGACTCATAATACAAGTCAGAGCTTTATTAAAAAAAAGAAAAAAAAAAAGAAAGAAAGTTGTGTTTTCAAAATTGGAGTTCAAGTTATTTTTACTTCCAATAGTGTTAACATACTACACAGGTGATGAACAAGATTTTTTAAATTTTCATTGTAAGTGGGCTAAAGCAGGTAATTAAAAGTAGTCTAACATAAATGCTGTAATTTGATTGTTTTAATAAACATGTAACTTGGATGGATTTGATGCTGGCGTGACCACAGTGCACACGTCTGCTGTTGCTCAGGGAGTTTGTGTGTTCGCTCAGTCACATGAAACATTACAGGGAACATTGCTTAGGAGTACAGTGCATCAATGCCTGCAGGAGAGAGAACGAGGGCTTGGAGAAGGTCAGATAAAGACACAATCCCTCTGACCACATCATCACTGTCAACCAACACCAACCGATGTACCTGGTGAAACAAAAGATAACATTTTTCAGCTCCACTCTGCTGGATACATCAGTACACCCTGACACATTAGGTATCGAAGCTGTATTTTAAGTACTTATGTTGTGCATCTACCTAATGTACCTGAGCCTAATGGACTAACTTTGATTACATAGTCAAGAGCTCTCACGTCTGACTCATATTGCCACCAACAGTATCCCAGCAGTTTGTGTATAAGTATTATTTTTGCAGCACTGCAGGCTGCACTGTATTACCTCAGCCTGTGCAATGCGATCGATGATGGTCTCCAGTGTTTCATGAGGGTAGCACTTAAGGACCCCCTCAACACAGCAGAATCTGGATGCAATGACTTCCCGCATTGTCATATTTAAGTTGTTATAGTTTTTCTGGGCTGCAAGGTTCTTAGGGACAGAAAAAAACCCAACAATGTTGTTAGCAGCTACTGATTTTACTTTCATAACATAATAACATTTCTGGATTAACTGCTTATATATAAAGTATTTAACTGTTTCTATTTTTTCTTTAATAAATTTATGGTATTTTAATCAGAAATTGTGTGTGAAGATATACAGTGTAACACATGTGGGTCCTATGTAGCATACATAATACATGGGGGAAAAAAACAGCAACTTACAATAACATCAAATCTGGAGTACAGCGCCACCACTTTACCTACAGAGGATATACACAGAAAGGCCATGAGGTAAGTTTTTGTTGTTTTACCTTTTTCCAAAGTATGCATCCAAACTGAAGAAGAACAATAAAAAAATTTTTTATTAAATTATGTAGCAAACAAACCAAAAACCTTCATATTATGACTCTTCGTAATATGAAGGTTTTTGGTCTAATGTGGCTATTGTTTGTCTTGATAACAGCTTTACAAACTGTTGTCATTATTGTCAGCCTTGTCAAAAATCAATTGGTAGAATTTTATTCTTAACTCCTTTGCATCCACCAGGTCTCTGATTAGGGTTAGTGGCAGGGCTAGGCTCACCTCTGCTGCTTTGTATGGAATTTACATCTATATAGCATATGCACATGAAAATGTTATAACAGAAGGCCTTGAAGCGTTGAAGCCTTTAATTGTCAAATAGCAACAAAAAAAAAGCTGATTGTCTTTAGTAATCTGTATTATGACAAGACCAAGGACTGAAAGCTTTACATGCTGGTAAGAGAATAAAGACTACCATGAGCGGTAATGTAAACGTATCAAGCTTTTTCATATATTACAAAATTCAGTTAGTTGCATGTGATTACCTGCTGATGACTCATGATCATGCAAACTTCAAATTTTCCAGGTGAATAACAACATTAACTTAGCATGACAATTCAGAGCACCCAGCCTTCTTGGAGTCCCTGGGTGGTGTGCTGTAGGCTGCTCAACCTGGGGACTTTGTTGTCCTACTGTGAGACTTTCAATTCAATTCAATTCAATTTTATTTATATAGCGCCAAATCACAACAAAAGTTGCCTCAAGGCGCTTCATAGGTACAGAGAAAAACCCAACAATCATATGACCCCTTATGAGCAGCACTTTGGCGACAGTGGGAAGGAAAAACTCCCTTTTAACAGGAAGAAACCTCCAGCAGAACCAGGCTCAGGGAGGGGCGGGGCCATCTGCTGCGACCGGTTGGGGTGAGAGAAGGAAGACAGGATAAAGACATGCTGTAGGCAACAACAGTGATACCTGGAGGGACGTGATTGGGAGGAACGGCCTCCCATATCTGAACCTAAGTGGTGTTTTGTTCTTGGACTTCTGTGCCAACCACAGTTTGTCCATAACGAACACCAAGTTCAAACATAAGAGTGTCCGTAAGTGCGCGTAGCACCAGGACGCCCTAGGCCACAGGTTGATAATCGATTTTGTAATCGTATCACCAGACCTGCCGCCATATGTTCTAGACACTTGGGTAAAGAGAGGGGCTGGTGGTGAGTTGGATCAGGTAGTGGGGGAGGATGCTGGACAGACCTGGCGCTGGGAGTGCCTGGCAGAGGCCCCAGTCTACGAGATCTTCAACGCATACCTCCCACAGAGCTTCAGTAACATTCTGAGGGAGATGGTCAATTCATCCATCCATCCATCCATCTTCATCCGCTTATCCGAGGTCGGGTCGCGGGGGAAGCAGCCTAAGCAAAGAGGTCCAGACCTCCCTCTCCCCAGCCACCTCCTCCAGCTTGTCCGGGGGAATACCAAGGCGTTCCCAGGCCAGCCGAGAGATATAATCTCTC